GTAGAACCAATTCACAACTGTCCTCTCGACCGATTTATCGGAACCCCGAAAATCTGTGGTCGTTGCCAATCGTGGAAACACCGCATCTGGGAGTGCACGAGGATGGTCGCCTGCGGTTTCTGTGCAGGTCCTCACGAAACAGTGGAATGCAAATCGAAAATTCAGAACAAAATCCCAGTTATTCCACGGTGCGTCAATTGCCATGGCAGTCACCACGCCTGGAATGCCAATTGTCCACAGCGTCCTGGCACTCGCCCGGGGAAAACTTACCTTGTACCACTGCCCTCGTCTCTGACGAAGCCCCTGTCAACCAAACCTCAATCCTATCCACCACCGCCTCTTCCATCCACCAAGGATTTCCCATTGATCTCCTCTCCTCTACCACCCCCTCTATCACCCCTACCACCCATCCTTTCTCCCCTCCCTCCCTCTCCCTACCGTTCTTGGAACAAGGTCGTTGCCGGCCCTGCCACACAGTCACCACCATCTCCTGCCCACCCGGACCCCCGCTGTCTCTCACCAGCACCACCACCTCTTACTCAACTGAACCCTCACCGTCCCTCTCCGTCGCTACCACCACCACATGCCCAGTCGGGCCCTCGGCAATCCTCGCCGCCACCTCCAGCTCATGCACAGGTACACCAAGTTGGTTCTATGGAAACACTGCGACATTGCAGAAGCAACAACAACTCATTCTGGACACCCTGACCCAACAGGGGCGCGCTTTGCAAGCCCTGATGACCCGCCTCCTTCCATCTCCCGCGATGGAGGATCCATCCCTCGCTCTCCCACTCCTCCCTCTCCATTTCTCTCAACAGAATTTGGTACCTCCTCTGGAGCCCTGTCTAGCCCCTCCGACTCATCTCACACCGGAGGCCGTTCCCTCCTCTTCTTACAATGGAACATCCAGGGACTTAGACCTCGCCGGACAGACCTCGCCCAGTTTGTGCTCTCCCATCAAGTAGATGTTGCTCTACTTCAGGAAACCATCACAGACGATGTTACTCCACTCCGCCTCTCTGGCTATACTGTTTACACCCTGCCTCGGTACCGTGGGCAGGCTCGTGGCCTCCTCACCCTTGTGCGTAACACCATTCCATCTGTTCGTCTCCCTTCACCTGACTCATATGGACCCCCGTCTGAATTACTTTCTGTCTCCCTTACTCTTGGTGACCGGACCCTTCGTGTAGTCAATGTTCATTTCAAGAGTGATTCTCTGGACCCCCAGGTTCTTCACGACCTCCATGATGGGGTTCCCACTATTGTTCTAGGCGACTTTAATGCCCGCCATCCCACTCTTACTCCGGATCATCCCACTCCATGTACCCTTAACGGATCACATCTCTCACAGTTGGGGATGATGATGTTCGCTTTCTTTGTCCTGACGATCCTACTCGCCTCCCCCATAGTTTGCTTGATGTTGGCTTACTATTGAACGGTCATACTTCCTTTCATCCTACTGTCTGCACCGAGCCTGCTCTGTATAGTGACCATCTTGCCGTTACTACCCATCTCAGGCTCTCCTTCTTTGCCCCGACATCAACTCCTTATCGATCCCCTCGCCTTCGTCTCACACAAGATGCTGTTCCTTCCTTTACCCAATACCTTTCTACCTGGGCGGATTCCTATGTTGTCCCCCAGTCCCTTGACTCTTACAGCGCTGATTTTGTTGATGCCGTGTATGACTCTGTCAATCGCGCTACCCCTCCACGCCCTCCCCGTCACCCCAGAAGTGCCACCAACTACTGGTATCGTATCCCTGCCATGAGACATCTCCGGCAGGTAACCCGTGATCTCCACTCTGCCATACGGAGGTCTCGGTCTCCAGAGGACTGGGAAGACTTCAAAAATTGGTGCTCCTTTGCAACTCAGGAGCGCCGTCGGATACGTGAGGCGGACTGGCTATCCTTCACGGGGTCTCTATCGTTCCAGTCGTCACCCTCTTATGTATGGAATCGGATTTATGCTATACGGGGTACTCGACGGAGGCCTCCTCCCCACCCTGACCCCGCCTCCCTTGCCTGCTCTTTAATGGAGGACTGGGCACGAGCTTCCTCCCCTGAGGCACTTCCAGATCCAATGCAGGAGGCAGTGCAGGCTCGCATCGATGCGTCTGAGCCTGTTGTTCGTGCTGCTCTTACCTCCCCTGCCCCCACTGATCATCCCATCACACAGTTCGAGCTTGACAGTGCTCGTCGCTCTAGAAAAGACACCTCTCCTGGGGATGATCAGATAACCTACTCGGTCCTCAACGCCTGTACTAATATTCCTAACGGCCCCTTGCTCGCTCTCTACAATATGTCTTATGAACATGGGGTTCTCCCGTCCAACTGGAAAAATGCCACTATTATCTCCATCCCTAAGCCGGGAGATCCTGGGAAATATCGACCCATTAGTCTTACCCCCTGTGTTTGCAAGATGATGGAGAGGATATTCCATCGTCGCCTTCTTCACACCATAGGCGGCTTCCACAACTCCCTCAATGGTTTCATACAACATCGCAGCACAGCACACTCCATTGCTTCCTTTTATTGCAATCAGACTGCCCGCGTCTCCGTCTTCCTTGATATCAAGGGAGCCTTTGATATGGATCAGCCTGCCCTCATTTTAGCTGAACTTGCACGGTTAGGGGTTAAACGGAGACTTCTTCAATGGATCGCCTCTTACCTCACTGGACGTCAGCCCGGGTTCGCGTTGAAGGCTCTATGTCTCCTGTTCAAGAAATGAACCTCGGCACCCCTCAAGGTGGAGTCCTGAGTCCCGCCTTGTTTAACACTCTCATGCACTCCATTGCATCTCTCCCGTGGCCGACAGAAGTTGTCCACTCAGGATATGCCGACGATGTCCTCCTCCAAGCCCCTGACTACCTCAGCATGCAGGAAGCCCTTGATCTGGTCTCCAGAGAGTGTGATTCACTTGGTTTCCTTCTTTCAACTGCGAAAACAAAAGCCATGTGGCACGGTCAAAAGCCATGTGGCACGGTCGTGTTGTACCTCCACCCCTTCTCTTATCAGGAATGCCCTTGGACTGGGTTAATGAGACAAAATACCTGGGTGTGTATGTACCTCGCACACGTTGTCAGATCTCTGAAGTCCGCTATCTTCGAGACATATGCTTTCGGCATCTCGCTCCCCTCTCTACCATGTGCAGGGATTCCCTTGGTGCCACCATCCCTGTACTTCTCACCATGTACAAGTCCTGTGTCCGTTCCTGTGTCGACTACGCCGCCCCTGCCCTCATCAACATTAGTCGGACTGCTGTCAACCGTCTCGAAGTTATCCAGAGGAAAGCTGCTCATATCATCCTTGGGGCTCCTCAGTGGACACGCTCTACTTCTCCATATACCGAACTTGGTCTTTCCCCCTTACAGGATCGTGTCCAGGAGTTTTACCTAAAAACTACCGTTTCCATTCTACGGGATCCTCGGGGCAACTATGTCCAAACCAACTTGACTCCTGCTGTCCGAGACCGACCTCCATCTAGAAGACAGTGGCGAGGGTCACTCATCCGAGCCCTTCAGGAACACGACCTCCTGCCTGATATTGTTGTCACCCCTGCTGTTGGTTCGTCTCCTTCTCCCTGGCTGGATTTTCAACCTGAAGTGATTGCCCTCGGTGGACCGCTCCGGAAATCCCAGGTGAACCCTGTTATTCTCTGCAAATACCACCTCTCCAGGATCGCTCACTGGTCCCCAGGTAGGGTCGTCCTCTACACTGATGGTTCTGTTGACCCCGCTACAGGTAGGGCCGGGGCTGGTGTCTGCATCTCCCGTCCTCATGCCCCTGAGCCTATCAAACTGTCTCTCAGAGTTTCTGACGGGGCATCCTCCACTCAGGCTGAACTAATAGCCCTCCTTGCTGCCCTTCTCGCTGAGGAAAAAGCAGATGGTTTCTGCCCCTTGCTTGTCTGCTGCGATTCCAGGTCTGCTCTCGACGGGATCGCATTTGGATCTGGGGAAAATAAGGACCTCATCCTCCGAATACGAGGGTTAACATCCACACTTCAGGATGAAGGCCGTCCTGTGACATTCCTATGGATACCTAGTCATGTCGGTATCTTGGGGAATGAGGCAGCAGATGACCTTGCCAAGACTGGCTGCAACAAGGCCACACCTGACTACGTTGTTCCTCGAACACTCTTACAGATTAGGACCCAAATCCGCCGCAAACAGAGAGAAGCTCGGGAAGCAGCCATACCCCTGGACTCCCCGCCCACATGGTACGATGTCCTCCGTAAACTTCCTGACTTCTCGTACGTCTACGGGAAAGGGTCGCGGAAGGGGGACGTGATTGCTGCCCGTATCATCATCGGGTATGACTTTTGCTTCGGAAATTTAGGTATCTATCTGAACGCTCAACATTGGGTATGCAGGGCCGACAGCCCTTCTGCTGCCTCCTGAATGTCCCTTACTGGCGCTTCCGTGACGCCTGGACCCTTTCCTCCATCTGGCGGAACGATGATCCTCATACTGGCGGATATTTGCTAAATATATTAATTATATTGACGAAGAACTTCTCTTCCTTCATGAGGCTTTAGTAAGCCCTTTAATGTTCTCACTGTGTATGCTCTTTTCACGCCGCAGATGTTCGTATTCATTGTACTGGTAACGCTAGGTTGCTTTATATATCAAACAATTGAAATTGAAAGATTATTCGAACACTGCTGGAGAAAGCTGGCAACTCATGGCAGTTTCTTTACTATAGTACGTTGTATAATATAATTCGAAACAACAAAGCCCAACCAGTAAATTAAGCAACGGGGAACTAAGTAAACAATCACCGATCACTTTTACATTTATTCATAATTTTTGCGACGTACTATAGTAAACAAACGGCCTTGAGTTGCCGGTATTCTCCAGCAGTGTTCGAAGAATCTTGAACGAGACTGTACAGTATGTTCATGTGAAGGCAACTGTACATTCATGAGCAGCTATGGTTTAAAAGTTATAAAACGATGAAGGCGGTACAAGCACATGAAGCATATTCCAAACTGTTACTTACCTGGCATGGTTTCGTCGTCATCCCATCCCTTCCAAGCTTCTGTAGGGATTATTGCCTCCGAATAAATACTGCTCTCAGGATGAGTGTGTTGCTGGTAATTGGAAAGTGATTGCATATCGGTGGAGGGAAAGGTGGAGGCAGGGTTGGTGGGCAAGGACTTGGTGGCAGACATGGTGGGTAGATGTGAAGATGATTGTGACTTCACATCCCCACTTTTGCCTGACGAGGTTGTAGGCTGACCCACCACTGACAAGGATGGTGGCTTTGGAGAATGTGCGTCACAGTTGTTAGTGGTAGAGATTCGAGGGGGCTTACCCGGGTTTCCAGACAAGGAATTCTCCTGTATGAAAGGACAATCTAGATTACTCAGTGTCATTGTTCTGTATCATCCAAGCAACTACTCCCACTGATGTTATTTACTTATTAACCTTCGAGCAACTATTCCCAATGGTGTTATTGCTAAAACGACCAACTTACTATAAGTAACTGAAGCATATTTCGTCATTATAATTTTAGATAATTACTTGTGAAGTGTGACAGCCGACTAAACTACAAATTCGGACAAAGTCTCTGTGTTTCAGTTATGAAATCTTTCAAGAAATGGTAGTGGGCATTTATGTACAATGAAAATAGTTGTAGTGAGAGAAGCGTTACATAACTTACACAACGCGAAAGAATACTCAAAGTTTATAAGGAGAAAATGTTGTACTTTGACCGAATGTTTGAGAATGGGAAGATAGCGGTAGAGTTCGTTTGAAATAGAGGGCTGTAGATGCCAACCCTTAATTGATTAAACAATTAAACACTTTTTGTCTGTCCGTAATGCATCAATGCATCAATAGACTCTATAAGAAGTGAGTATATATACTCAGCAAGTCATATTAAAATCATCTGGTCAAAAAGACACGTATAAAAATGGGGTCTCTAACTTAAGAGAAAAATAAACCCATAAATTTATTTTTGCGTACTGCATTCAAATTTCATAGATGTAAAAACCACGTATTAGGGGCTGATGAATTAGTAATAAAAACATAACTTTCAATTGTAAATATACAATTTTTAGAGCGTATTGATTTTGATAAAGTTGCTTGATAAAAAAAAATCTAATTTACGAAAATTACGTTTTATCTTAAGTATTTTTTGAAGCTCACGAGCAATTATTAGATCTTATTTCTTTGTAAATCCAAATTATAAGTATTAGAAGGCGATTCCTTAAAACAAAAAGTATTATAAATTAGGCGTTGCTATACATAAAGAAATGCATTTTTTTTTCCTTTTGATTTTATTTGTCTCCTCGTGATATTCAGGCGTCTATACTAGGGCCTACAGTTTTACTATCGTTAACATAAGAAAATAATTCATACCTTAAAGCCAGGTCGTGTGACATTGCCTATGCTGGGTGGCTGGGGTATTAAGTCATTCACAGCCTCATAGATGTGTCCTGAGAAGAGGAGGGACTCGGGCTCAGGTTCGGAGGGCGCCGCTATCCGACCTGGGGGGAGGGCTGTCCCCTGACTTTTACTGGCAATATGACGACACACCTCCTTCTCCTTCATGATCAGCGAATAGATATTCTTTCCCTGGAAATCAGTCACATTACAGACCCAGAGATATGGTTTTAAAAGTAATAAGTTTAAAAAAATAAAAGCAAAAAAAAAAAAATAAATAAATAAATAAATAAATAAATAAATAAATA